ATATATATAAAATTTTATTTTTAATTAAACTGTAGTTTTTTTTTTATTCCATTCAAATGTATAAAATACAATATAAAAAAAGTTAAATCGGTAAAATTGTATTTTTAACTGGTGGGCAGGAAATATCATTTTCCACCCTGACTAGGTTATTTTTAACATGGCGTGTAAGATGATCTCACGTTTCACCCTCCACCCCAATGAGTGTTTCAGTGTTGTCTAGAACATTCCGTCATTTATATGACTTCCATTTCCATTATGCTTCCAGAGCTCTGTCAACATGCGTCCTTTCAGAGCAACTTTCAATGTTTAATTTAGAACTATGACATGGATCAGTAGCTACAGATATTGTGAGCTTTTTAATACTCAAATAAGGTTTGCGTTTTGTGTGCACACTAAAATGCCATGAAGAAAGAGTGTGTTCCAATCTTAAACGGCCATTTTTGTGGTCTCTGGGACACCGTTGTTCCTCCACACAGCGTTTAGTTCTGTTAGCCGCCTCCTGCCACCCAAAGGATTTATCCTTCACTCTCTGTCTCTTTCATTCAATATCTCTGTGTAGATTTTTTCCCAGCCTTGATTCTCAGATGGCTGGGTCTGATTTGCATGCATTTGCATAAAGAAAGTCATTTGCATGCTCAGAGCAGACTTTACCATGAGAACAGACATGAAAAGGTGTGCGTGTGCACGCGCATGCCCGATCTTGCTTATGCCCTCACATGCTGATGCATTTATGCCCTTCATCTTTCCATTTTCACTCTCAAACAGACCAACCATCCTCGATGCCAGGGAAAGGAAAGAGTGAAGAATCGGGGCAGGTCGGTTGTGTGGCTGTCGTCCTGCTGGCGTTGCTGCTCCCCTCCCCTTCGCTGCTCGCCTGCCCCCTTCCTCCCGTCATGAGATGCAGTTTGCACAAAGCCACCATCTTAGAACAAGCGGGCATTAAATGGAAGTGGAAAATAAGCAGGTATGACCCACCATCACTCTCCTGCGTCTCACACCCTCCTCTCTCTCGCCTCTTCTCGTTTACACATACTGTCCCCTCTCGCTCCTCCTGCTCGAAGGCACTGTTCATTACAGCAGATGTGTTTGTTAATTGTGAATATCACACGTCCTGGTTGTGATAGGCGCTGAAGGGGGCGGGGAGATGTTTTGTAGTCGTTTGCATTAAATCATTCCTCGGCACAATGGCTGAGGCAGAGCTGCATCTGCGGGCATCAACGCTGAATAGATCGCCATCAGGGATTCTGCTGCCCTGACGTCGTACCATGCCAGCCATGGAGATGGCGTGCTGCCATTATTGAGAAGAACAGCAAGACTTCCCTCCTGCTTTCAACTGTGGTCGTCATTATATTAGCTGTCCCATGAGTTTGAATGAGCAAAATGGATCGCTGTTTTTAGTCTTACATAACTATAAGCGAACATCTCAGATTATTTAGCATCTATTTAAAGACAAACTAATGGGAAAACATGCTTAGAGAGAGCAAGAGTAGGAGCAGAGAGCGTGATAGAGAGGTCTCAATGAGGACGGGCTCCTTTTGTACGTCTTGGTTTCTAAGAGTCGCGGGCCAGACAAGTCCAGTATTGTTCTCCGTGGCGAGCTTACTGTGCCACACTGTTATTAAGCCCAGGAAGCTATAAGTTTAAAAACCGCTTAACCAACACACCAATTAGAGCCGGCTGTGCCTGATTAAGTGAGGTAGCAAAGTAAACAATACAGGCCATTGTCCTTCATTCTCTCAGAGGACTGCCTTTGTTTAAGTCCCATCACTGAAAGTCCAGCCAATACCCTGAGAGAGGAGATACAGTGGAGGACTAGCGTAGGTCCAGGGCTCAGTATCTCTGTTCAAGAGAAGAAGGTGTATGTTAGCTGTATGCACTTACAAAAATGTCCTATGCCGCCAAAGTACCATGAGGTACGATGGTGGTATTAAATGGAAATACTATGGTACCATGGTATTTACTTGATACCTCCATGTTATACTGTAGTAGTATGGAACATGTTCAAAAATAAATTTTTAGTAGTTTAGTAAATACACAACTGTTCAAAAGTTTAAGGGCAGTAAGATTAAATAAACATGAAATATTTTAAAAGAAGTCTATTATGCTCACCAAAGCTGCATTTGTTTGATCATAATACAGTAAAAACTGTAATATTGTGAAATATTTTTACAATTTGATATAACTGTTTTCTATTTTAATATATTTTAAAATGTAATTTATTCTAGTGATGGCAAAGCAGCATTAAAACAGAATCTTTTGCAGCGTTATAAATCTTTTGATTAATTTATTATATCTTTACTGTCACTTTTGATCAATTTAAAGGGGTCCTATTATGCTTTTTCACTTTTTCAATTTTAGTCAGTGTGTATGTTTGGGCATAAAAAAGATCTACAAAGTTACAAATCTCAAAGTCCACTCCAAAGCGAGATATTTCGTTTTTAAAAAATCCCTTTTCAAGAACTACAACGAATGGCTCGTTTGGACTACAGCTTGTTTTCCGGGGTTTTTGTGATGTCACAAAGCGGCCCATTAGAATATCATTCAAATAAATCCCACCTACGGAAATTCGAATGGTTGGAGGGTGGGGAGGGGCGAGGTCGTGGTTAGAACCATAAAAAAAAAACAATAACATTACCACTCTAATATGTCTTGCAATATCCGTGCATGCAAAGGTTCTACGCGATCCTCTTGTTCAATATTCTCGGGGTCTGAATTCAGCTCAAATTGATATGGCAATATTGGCGCCATCCTTAACTAAACCGGAGCAGACGGAACTTGCTGCTTTGGCAAGGGGCGTGGCAGTACTGAAACACCGTCTAAGCTGTTCGCCAATCACAACGCACTGGGACGCTAACCAATCACAACGCATTTCGTTTTGCGGAAGGTGGGCCTTCAACAACCCGGAACTAATCGAGCCGTTTGTGCCAGGCTGGGGAGAAAGGTATTGTAATAATGTAAATGATGTGAAAAATAATGCGTTTTTCGAACCACCAAGCATGAGAGCATGTTCTAGTACACCCCCAAAACAAAATCAAGACTTTGTAAAAGAGCATAATAGGACCCCTTTAATAAACTCTTGCTGAATAAAAGTATTAATTTCTTTAAAAAAAAACATCTTTATGACCCCAAACTTTTGAACGGTAGTGCATAACTAATCCAACTACTAGAAACGGATGTCAATGTGCGCAAATCAAACTTTCAGAACAGCTATACAAAGAGTTTTTGCAAACTGCAAATGTGACCATACTAAAACTTTTCCTTTTTTCCACTTTTATCACATTAAAAATGTAATTAAAAATGATTAAGTTTTAAATTCCAAAACAAGGATTAAATAGTTCAAGAGTGATAAAACTCTTAATGCAGGCAGCAGAGAATTACAGGATTGCAGTCACACTGGGTCTACAATCATGTCATTGTTTTCAGTAATCTAAGTGCGCCACAGTAAACAGGTGGCAAACTGGGGGGAAGAGCGGCTGAGAGGGACGGCACAGTAAATTATGCACAATAAAAACAAAGGCAAAGCACATCAGATAAAAAAGGAGCGAAGAATCTGCAGCAGCTTGCGTCTGGGAGCGTGCGAGGTGGCTGGGGCTTGGGCAAAGGGGCAGACACTCTCCCGTCTTCACACACACACACACACACACACACAAGGCTCCCCTTTTCTGAGCAGCTGCTCTCGCCTCTCCATGCAGGCACCAGCCTTGGGAACCACCACGATGAGGCTCCCCCCAAAAATGGGCACCGGGGCCCCCCAAAGTCTGAGTCTGTCTGCCCCCCCCCCTTTTCTGTCTCTCCCTCCCCCTCTTGACAATGATGCTGGGTGCCTGGGAAGGACTCGGAGTTCATGGTCAGACTGCCTATTGAGCTGACAGGCTGACTGTTTGCTCAATTCAGTCTTCTATTCAGCCAGGACAGAAGGAGGGAGACAGAGACACAGTAACACTTCAATGAGTATTCATTTAGGGAAGACAACTGGAGGGAGAGAGGGAAATCGCGAAAGAAAGAATGAAAGAGAAGCAGAGAGGGTGGTGCGTTTTTTGCGACACGATACAGATGCCGACCATCATACACAAACGTCCACTTATCCAGTTTTCTGACAATGAAAGATTAGGGGGATAGAGGGATAGAGTCATTGCAACCCTATAAATATAAACAAATGTGGATGTTTGATGAGCTCTTGTGTTCTTAATCACCTGCATGCCTCGAGTTGCTTGTTTAAGCCACGTGGAGCGACTAAACTCTGGAGTTCTCCGGGTTTAGCTTCTGTCACATGCCTCCTCTTTGCTTTAGTTCCACGTCGTACCAAGCACACAGGCACCGTCAACTTCGGCCTCAATCTCTCGACCTGGCACTCGGCCTGTCTGAGGTGTTCATTTGCTTCAACCTTCTGAAAGAATCCTAAAAAACAGAAAAAAATCATTATAACATTATTTCCAATAACAGAACATCTCAAAATACAAAAGCCAGTCCTGATGAGATAACCTGACAGTTTTCAGTAATCAAATGTGTTTGATTTGAAATGGTCAAATATCAATAAATATTATTTCACTAAACACATTTCCTGTTTCTTTTGTGTCTTTTCAGGTTTTTAGAGTCAAGTCGAATAACGTGAAATCCATTAAATGGAGGATCAGAGCTGAAACGGGATGATGGAGTCAAACGGGTCTTTACTATGCATGTGCCCCAACATCAGATAAAAGACAGCACTTTAATTGTTCTACATGACTTCAATCTTTGGCAATTTTGAAGCAGTTATAGCATCAAATGTTCTAAGGGCTGTATGTTGCGAGCCAAGCGTGTGTGTGTGTGTGTAGAAGATGAGAGAAACTCTTTGTAGGGGTCTGGGTCAAAGTACTCAGCAAATTGTGTATTTGTAGAAACACACTTGTTTGGGATTCTCCAAGTATAAAAAGATATTCGGGTAGTTCTATAGTGAATTTAATGAGGGTTTCCTAGAAAATGTCATTTTTAAAGGCCAATCATTTAGGTACTTTTTGATAAAAAAAAAAAAAAGTCTATAAATTTAACGCAGTTCTATCTAGTCTGTCTTGGTACAATCTTTAGCATAATGCACTTTATAACACCCCCCACCCTAGTTTTCAGTATGAAAGGAAAATGTAGTGGCCTATGTACATTCCCTAATGTATTTCTCCAATAACTGATTACTAAATTAAATCTAACATGAATTATTAGAAATGGTGTGTGAGGCTCTGTAGATTTTGCATGTATGAGTGTGAGACCCACGGCAGCGGTGAACGATACTGCACTCTGATTGGACAGCTCAGTGTGTTGTGTGTCACACACTTGTTGGACAGAGAGCTGTTGTCTTTAATTTCTATGCAATTGCGTTGGGCTTGCAATCACCGGGAAGAGAAGGCAGATCAGAGCAGCTATTTATGACAGCAGGTTAAATCTGTTTTAAGGTGCGAGGAATATTTAGCAGAATATGTATGAATATTTCATTCCTACTAAAACAACAACAAACTGTGAAGTCATCGACCACTAAAAAGCATCTCCATCTAGCTTTTGTGTTTTTCGTTTTTGTTTCAGCACTCAAAAAAGAAACAAATTCAAGGGGTATTAAATGCTCTCTAAATGTCTCTCTGTATTTTGTTATAATCAATCATGGCTGAAGAATTCAGTTGAATATGCAAATGTTTTACAAATTTATTACGATTTGAAGAGAATTGTGCAATCTATTTTATAATCATTTTTCTTAAAATAATTTTGAATTACAGCATTATCCTTTCAGTAAAACTGAGATAATCTGTTTTTTATGTCCCTGCAAAATTTGACAAATCAAGTGAATGTGAAGACAATGGATTGATGAAATGGGGCCTTTACTATGCAATTTTTAACTTCTATATTTTTCTGGGATTTTGTAGAAAGTGATTTTCAGCTAGTCATAGTCCTGTAATGATAACGATAATTGAAATCATACTTAAACTTGTAATGCTATAGTTCTATTCATCATCTTACTGTATGTTTTTCTTTCATGTTGCAGTTGAACGCAAATGTGTAAGATATTTTTGTTTCCTTTTTTTTTTTTTTGTATTTCCGCATGTGCCTTTTTAATGTCCTGGTATGGATATTAATAAAAGTTTACTTTAAAAACAAACTTCTGCTGTTGTCTGTAATATTTTGGAGAACAATTTTCATACACAATTAAATTCAAGAATCCTAAAGGCACCCTGTCAGATTTTGCATGAAACTGAAACTCACTCTTAAGATGGTGGAAGCATATAAGACTGAATCATTTTCTTTATTTGATTTGTTCTGGGTTTATTCAACTAGCAATGAACCACATCCAGTCTAGAGTATTACAGTCCAACAACATTTCTTGGCCGCTCAGATCTGTGTGGCCGTGTGCCAGGAGACAAGGTGCATTAGTGTACTGTAGGCCGTAATGCTGCTGATCTGACACACATGGTGAGACCCTGAGTCTGTGCCTGAATTTTAACTAATCAATTAAACAACCAAACATTTAGCTTACTCAGTCTCTGTGTATAGGGCTACTACAGCAGTGGCCACATACCAATAATTTTTGGAGTTTTCAAAAAGGTATTTAGTTACAAAGAGTGCAAAATATCACGAAATAATTGCAGTAAAAGAATCGACCACGCTCAATAGCATCACTTACAGAAGTGAATGAGACAGCATGCTGCAAATGGTGGTCTTTGTGCCCTTTGGGCTCCAAAGAGAACAAAGGAGAACAGAAAAGAAAGAGTTATACATCCACCAACCAAAACATCTTATACAACACTGCTGGCATTTCAATATAAAGCAGGGCAGTAAGTGAAGGACAGAGAATCTGTGAGTGATCATAAGAAAGATGTGTCTTTCACCGATTACCTTAAGCTGCGTCCATTCTGCCCGTCAGTCAATGACTAAATTGTCAAGTTTGTAAGGAAATTGCCTTCAGAGATTCTTCATACGTTTAACATACATTACATTTTTATTTAAGGACAATGTTATTAATATTTAATTAAAGTATTTAATAATATGACATTTTTACACTCTCTCTCTTATATGTATTTTCACACGTGCTTTTTTTACAATGTCGTGCTATGGATATTAATAAAACCTGCGGTCACACTTTTGCCTCAATTTCCTGATTTGCTGCTTATTATTAATTAGTAAGGTAGTTGTTAAGTTTAGGTATGGGGTAGGATTATGGATGTAGAATATGGTCATGCAGAATATGTGCTTTGCAAGTACTAATAAACAGCCAATATGTTAATAATAGGCATGCTAATAAGAAACTAGTGAGAATTGGTCCCTATACTGAAGTGTTACCACATGTGCTACCGTCACTAGGATTTTGGGACTGTTTTGGGACATTATATATAAAGTTGTATTGTAAAAAGTCAGTGTTATTAAACACAATTAATTATAAAATGACAATGATATATATTAATTATTTACCTCTTTCAACTGACATCATTTTCTCCACCAACTGCTGAACCATGTGTTGAAGATTGTGGAATATCATTGGCAAGAATGAATTGGTGGCCTTCAAAATGATGAAGGGATCTCAGTATAGACTTCTTGTCTTCCTCCATATACTGTCTGTGAAGGTTTTCGAATGCAGCCTTGATTCCCAGCGCACACTGATGACTGTCCTCAAATCTCCATCTTAGTAATCAAATGCTGAACAATTCCTGTCATCTGCTAACTGCAGAGTAAATCAACAATGTTACTTTGTTGAAAGAAAAACTATTGCTCTTTGATTTACTGGTGCCAATGACAAAGGAGCCAAAAATGTTTTATTCATCATTACATCAAGTTTACACTTTAATATTAACATTACTGTATGAAAATGACATACAGTGAATTAAGATACTGATGTAAAAACATAATTGTAAGGCTCTTGTATTAAAGTCTTATGTGAAATCCAAATGAAAATGTCCAAAGATTCCAAATACTAGTGGTATATAAAAATATGACAAATCCTGAAAGAAAAAATTATGACATTGCATTAATGATGTATTACAATTTAACATAAAAAAGGCTTTTCAAATTATTATAAATAAGTAAAGTTTCAATAAGACTGTAATTGGAATCTTCGAAATGAAAACAAATATGCACATAAACCCAAGATCAGACACACTGTATTTTAGTGGTAACTAAACAATTTGGTCATTGTGATGAAAGCTGGGAAAACAGAGTTCATGATTACTAGGATATAATTTATCAAGCAGCGCTTATATCCTCATGAATCACCATTTCATTGTGTCTTTGACAGCTCCACTCCAGTCCTGAGCTGCGTCTGACCTGGTGTCTGCCTGGTTTGCAAATCCTGTTCAAGCTGCTGAAGTCACTCGGCTAAAACAAAAGCAAGTAAATACAAGATGGAGGATGTGGGAAAGGAATTCGAACCCTGGATTTGCCTCATGGGAAAGCGAACAGCCCCAATGGGCGTGTGGGGCAGGGACGAGGTCACCCCAGCCCGCCGTGCTGGTGTGAATGACGAGGGACCGGAGAGAGGAGTCAATGCAGACAACGCAACAATGAGAGTTTAAGGGTGAGAAGGAGGAGAGGAACAAGAGAATAGACCTGAGGTCAAGTTCAAGGCCATTCTCACTGTCTGGCGATGTAAATGAGGTTTAACACACACACACAAACAAATTCACTTTTCCCAGCCCACACAGCATTCCCTCAATACAGTCTCTGCAATGAGCTAATGTTTGTGCAACTATTATTTTGTAGATTTAATAGGCTGTTTACACGAGAGCTCATTTCCACCTCAAAGCTAAAAAAAAAATAGTGACTTTATTTCCCAATTATGAATTGATATCATGCAATGCAACTTTATATTATGCAATTATCTTTTTTATGTTTCACTCTGAGGTGGGAATGGGCTTCAAGAGTTTTAGCAACTGCAACATAGTTTAAAAGAGGATTTTATTAGTATTTTTAGGCTAGTTTTTATCTAGATTTTTTAGATTCTAGATCTCCCATTATTACCACAATCTAAACAATTAACATAATCAAAACTATATATTGTTCAATATTAAATGAAAATGAGATTTAAACTCCAGTGTCTGGAAATTTTGACCAAACAACATTCCATAGGACCAGATGTTTTGCTCTGTCAGTAATATTTTTCTGCTATCCTTTGGTTTTACTGAAACATGTCTCTAAAACTCTTTTGTCTACCTTACACTCTCAAAAATAAAGGTTCTTTATTGACATCAATGGTTCCATGAAGAACGTTTAACATCCATTTAAGCTTCCATTGCACAAAAGGTTCTTTATAGTGGAAAATAACTCTTCAAACTAAGAAAAATTTGTTCTTTTTGGAAATGTTCATTGAAGGTTCTTTTAGGAACCAAAATGGTACTTTTATGGCATCACTGTGAAAACCTCCTTTTGGAACCCTTATATTTAAGAGCGTAATTTATGTGATTATTTGCATTGTTCATGAATCACCTAGGAATAATGTCTCGAATGGTGAATTTCCAGCACATTCTGCACAACATACACACAAAGACGAACCACATCCTACATTATAATGAGTCAAAACTGCTGTCACTTTCTGATAGACTGTCAGAAGGATGCCTGTTAATTTGAAACAATGGAAAGCTGGCTGCACAGATTCACAAAGATTCACTGATAAATATCAGTATTTATTTACAGATACAATGCTGAATCTTAATTGCAGCCGAAGGATTTGTTTTTCAAAAATGACTTTTTTCCTACAGTATATGATTTGGTGTATTATTATGTGCTGATAGACAGGACCACACACACACCCAGAGAACGTGCACAGCGTCCCAGTGCTGTTCCACAGCTGCTGCGAGTCGGCTTTGTGCCATGCTCCACCTCACTCTCTCCCTTGGTCTTCTCTCGCTAGCTTTCATGCTGCCTCCTGGTTGCCGTAGCAACTGATGGCACTGACTCAGAGAGGAAAGAGGGGTCTGCAGCAGAGAACAACACTTGCGAGCACACACACACACACATGCACACAGAACACAAATATATGCCAACGCACAAACAAACAAACAAACAAACACTCGCAGCAATGGGAACACACACTCGTGCCACTGCTCGCACACCTACAAAAACATATATTGTATGAATACTTTCTTAAATGTATCATGTGAAGTTCCATCTCTAACTGACTGATACAATGCTGTTATATATGAAGAGACATAACCTGTATAGATGATGCACCTGGTTCTGGACAAATAAAAACATTTAAACAATGAATCCAGATTTTAACATTTCATTCCACAAGCCCTAAATGAATAGAGTGTTTCAGAAGCAGACCGCAGGTAAATGTGCTGGTACTGTGCTGATTGACAGGACCACCAATGCAAGGGGACTGAGGGTTTTGTGTTCTGTGTGGACCTTAAAAAGCTAGTTCTAAAATAATGTACACTACCATTTAAAAATGTGGGGTCAGGAAGAGGTTTTAATGTTTTTCTGAAAAGTGTCTTATATGCTCACAAAGTCTACATTTATTTAATCTAAATATTATTACAATTTTAAATTATTATTTTCTATTTTAGTATATTTTTAATATCATTTATTCCTGTGATGGCAAAGCTGAATTTTCAGCAGCCATTACTTTAGTCTTCAGTGTAATATGATCCTTCAGAAATCCTTCTAATATGCTAATTCAGTGCTCAAGAAACATTTCTTATTATTAAGGTTGAAAACAGTTGTGCTGCTTAATATTTTTTGTGGAAACTGTAAATTTTATTTTCGGATTCTTGAAGGAAAGTACTGTATAATTTGAAATACAAATCTTTTGTAACATTATAAATGTCTTTAATTCCTTTTGATCAATTTAATGCATACTTGCTGAATAAAAGTATTGATTTCTTTAAAATATATACTTACTGACCCCCAAACTTTTCAACAGTACTGTAGGTGGAGTGATTCAGTTATACTGAATTACACATCTGGCTTGACTAAAAAGCATTCAAATTAAATATGAATTAAACTTTTAGGAACTGGTCACTTGGTTTAGAACAAAATACCAAGGTCATGTACAAACCCGGCAGTTATCCCTAAAGCAATGGTCTACAATCTCTAAAGGACCAGGGACACACCACCCAGACCAAACCAGG